CACATGAGAGCATGGTGGAAAATCACTGGGAGCTTTGTCGTATGATTTCCCATATGGTAAAACTATTGGGCTGCACTGGACATTGACCTAAGGTTATTGCACAATGGCTAATATAATATTCCTTTCTGGAGACTTTCCAGTCGGGCTTGATAAATTGTCATGGTTTGGGAAGTTTCGATAAGTGGTGACTGGATAGCATTTTGTGATCATTCTCTCTTTACTTCTCTTTAGTGAGCCATGAAACCGCTTTGTGGCAGGACCATCAAAAGTGCCATCTCATGCGGCTCTATTGTCGGATTTGCAACCCTCATCGTACAATTGCTTCGTAGCTTGCAAATTTTTAGTTATAACTGCGCTGATGGTAAATCGGAATGTACAAAACCACTCTGGACCGTAGCGGGAATATCCGTTGGGGCTATTCTGTTTTTGTGTGTTGCTATTGTGCTGATACGACAAAGCCTGGTAAGACGATTTTGAATTAACTTTTATCACAATGTACTCAATATCTTAAGCAACAAATCCAAATGCGATGTTCTCACTCGAAAAGAGATAGAGTGCCACTGGCTTATCAGAAATATCTGTCATGTGTTACCCTCAATAAATAAAGTTGACTTACTCACTTACTTACTTAGGACCTTCATCGAGTAGATAAAAGATACTACAACAGACTATAACCACAAATTATTCCAGTCACACAGACAGTCCAATATATAGGCTCGATCCTGTTGAGGTGGCGGCTTTTTCTCTTTCTCTATGACCCTGGTATTTAGATTTGTTGCCTACATTCTTTTTCGCCTCCGAAGAGAAAGTGAGGCACAAGGGCATCCACTAGGCTACTTCCGTTTTCTATAGCCTATTTCGGCATGTATAACTATCTTTAGTATCACCAAGTGGTGGACTAATGCAAATCCTGCATTTTAATTGGCTACGCTACTAGAGAACTATTAGTAATAGTCCTCGAATAGCGAAATTGGCGCAATCGAGTTTCACGCCTTCTTTCGTTTCATTTCCAAATAAAAATTTCTTCAACTTGCATTTGCTAACTTTATTATTGCCTTTTCTGTCCGATTAGTTGGCCACCGGGCAATAGCCCATTCGGCTTCGCCTCATGGGCTATTGACCCGTAGCTCTTTCGGGCTACAATTCTAGTTGGTAAGTATCTATATATTGGGACGCATCAGTGTATACTATGTATTCCTAGCTCTTGTGTTAAGAGTTGGGAGCAAAGTGGATCAAAAGTTCTGATCCTTTGTCCTGTAACTTTCTTGCTTAAACGTATTAACCCCTAACAATCACTGTGATGTACGCTTGTGACGAACTCGTCAAACGTAAATTACGTTCTCTCCTTTTAATTTGTTAGTCTTATTTCCCGTTTCCTGAGACAGGAAGCTT